ATGCTTTCAGCCATACAACTCTCTCCCATATGAAGGAAAACAGGGAGAAGCAAACGGTTAGGAGGCAATTTAGGAGACTTAGATATCACACCCAAGGCCAGTCCCCTATAAGGTCTTAGGTGCGAGAGTTTTCCGGAAGCAAAGGACATTCTTTTACCATATGGTCTCGCCTACAAAAGTATAGGCAGATTCCGTTCCTTCTTCTAAGTAATTTTTCAGTATCCGAGAGTTTGGCAACCCCTAATTGCTTTAACACTCTCAGGTGTATCAACTCTGGGGTTAGTAGGTGTGACCAAACGTCTATTCCTGTTCTTAGTATAGAGCCTGTCATGAATCCTATTATCTATATCAATGAGGTAGTCAATAAGGTCCTCTAATGGAATAGGAAGCTCCCTTGTCGCTACCTCATCTAATATAAACCTTCCATGAACGCAGTAGTTAACCCATTATTGGTCCAATCTACCTGTGAAGCAAGGGTACGAAACTGAATAGCATAATCAGCCACAGACCTAAATCTCTGTTTAATTCTCATTAATGCTCTTGCGGCATTCTTTGACCTTTTTGTTGTGTCAAAAGTTCTACGAAAAGCCGTAAGAAAGCTATTGAAATTATGCACCATAGGTCCATTGGCCTCCCAAATAGGATTTGCCCACTCAAGTGCTTTGTCAGTAAGTTGATGCATCAAAAACCCCACTTTATACCTAGCAGTGGGAAAGGAATGTGGATACATCTCAAGGTGGAATTCTATTTGATTAATAAAACCTCTGCATGTCTTAGCTTCCCCTGCATACCTAGGAGGGGGTGTTAAATGGGGCGAAGTATTAGGTGAATTGGATACTTCGGGAAGAAGAGGTGTAGGAGGGTTAGCTGCGGTTGCAGGAATGGTTCTAGACAAGAGCATCTGGAGAGCCTGTGCTATCTGATCCATACGGTAATCCTGCTCTGCAAACCTTGCCTCATGAGAAGCCATTTGCTGAGCCAAATCTGCGGGGTCCATGGCCCTATCGTAATGTAACGAGAATATACCCCAACACACAGGATTCAGCTAAACAGAAGACAACACATAGGAGAGATACGTCTACCAGACCTTAGAATGGCCGGACTCGATGTATATGAGAGGAGACAGAGTCAGGAACGATCCGAAGTCAAGGGCACAGAGAGATAGCGTAAACTAGGACTAGCCAGGGTCTGGTACACAGTAAGCAGCAAGCCGGCAACCAGAACAGATAAGGATAAAGAGAAAACGTAGTCAGAAACAAAGGCCAAAGTCAATACGAAGAAAACACAACTGAACACAACAAGTGCTAAAGGGAACTGAAACAGAAACCACGATAGGGCAGGGAGTAAAGGGAGAGGTAAGTTTAAATAGCTTTTAAACTAATGTGATTGGCTCCTGTCATATATACACACCCAAAAGGTAAGTGTATGGGGAGTGTGGCATGTCAGGGGCCAATGGGAGCCTTTTGACAATTTAGGCTCCCACTGTCTCTTTAAGAGCGTGCCCGAGACTCGTGGCGCGCTCTTAGATTCAGGCGGGACACGTGACCGCTTCTCGTGGTCACTGCCCGCCTTCCTATTGAAGCCGTCGGATGAGCCGCGCGCGGCTCGTGTAGCAGCAGGACCGCACGCGGCTCGAAGAGAGGACCGCGGCCGGCCGCTGGATAAGGTAAGTAACGCTACAGCTAGAGGGGAAGGGGCTAACAGTGGGTAGTGAGGTTAGCTGACAGGGACTGGCAGAGGAGGGGTTAACAGTGGATAGTGAGGTTGACTGGCAGAAAAGGGGTTAACAGTGGGTAGGGAGGTTGGCTAAATGGGACTGGCATAGGCGTGCACAGCCCATTGCATAAGAGTGTGCACCCTAAAGCACAAACACACACGCCGCATATATATATATTTATATATATATATACATACATACACACACACACTACTGTGTAGGCACTGTGTGTGTGTGTGTGTGTGTGTGTGTGAAGGTGCTGTGTGTGTAAGGGTGCTGTGTGTGTTTGTTTGTGAGGATGGTGTGTGTGTGTAAGGGTGTTGTGTGTGTGAGGGCACTGTGTGTGTGTGAGGGTGCTGCTAGTGTGTGTGTGTGTGTGTGTATGTGTAAGGGTGCTGTGTGTGAGGTCGCTGTGTGTGTGTGTAAGGGTGCTGTGTGTGTGAGGGCGCTGTTAGTGTGAGGGGGCTGTTAGTGTGTGTGTAAGGGTGCTGTGTGTGTGAGGGTGCTGTGTGTGTGAGGGTGCTGTTAGCAGGGCCGGATTAACATAGGGACTGATGGAGCCCTGGCTAGAGGGGAAGGGGCTAACAGTGGGTAGTGAGGTTAGCTGACAGGGACTGGAAGAGGAGGGGTTAACAGTGGATAGTGAGGTTGACTGGCAGAAAAGGGGTTAACAGTAGGTAGGGAGGTTGGCTAAATGGGACTGGCATAGGCATGCGCAGCCCATTGCATAAGGGTGTGCACCCTAAAGCACAAACACACACCGCATATATATATATATATATACATACATACATACACACACACACACACACTACTGTGTAGGCACTGTGTGTGTGTGTGTGTGTGTGTGTGTGAGGGTGCTGTGTGTGTAAGGGTGCTGTGTGTGTTTGTTTGTGAGGATGGTGTGTGTGTGTAAGAGTGTTGTGTGTGTGAGGGCACTGTGTGTGTGTGAGGGTGCTGCTAGTGTGTGTGTGTGTGTATGTGTAAGGGTGCTGTGTGTGAGGTCGCTGTGTGTGTCTTTGTGAGGGTGGTGTGTGTGTGAGGGCGCTGTTAGTGTGTGGGGGCTGTTAGTGTGTGTGTAAGGGTGCTGTGTGTGTGAGGGTGCTGTGTGTGTGAGGGTGCTGTTAGCAGGGCCGGATTAACATAGGGACTGATGGAGCTGCATCTCCAAGCCCAGGCCCATGGAATAGGCCCATTGAATTTTCTTTTTTACACACTACTCTTAGGGTTGTTCACCTGGCCGGTATTATTTGAGGCTGCCTGGCAGTAATACCGGCAATACAAACAGTAATACCGGCAATAAACAGAGATTGCTCTGCAATACCATTACCGGCCTGTAGGGGTCGCTTTGTGTGTGGAGAGAGCCAGGGATAGGAAAATACAGCATTAACCTGCATCACTCTACTAACTGATCCCTGGGGGAGCAGCTACACAGCACAGAGTCCAGACAGCAGCTCCCATCCTGCAGAGACAGCCTACAGCTCAGAGAAGTGAGGGATGGGGTAAAGGCTGTAGGGAGACATGGGGACACTGAGACACTAGGGGACACTATGAGACATGGGGACAAATGGAGACCTCTGGGGACGCTGAGACACTTGGAGACACTTGGAGATACAGGACACAGACATACATGGGGACACTTAGACATGGACACACACACACACATGGGGCCACTGAGACACTAGGGGACACTGAGAGGACATTGAGACATGGGGAACCAGACACACATGTGGACACTCTTTCAGAGATCCAGCAATCCATCTATACAGCAGAATCAAACTAAATAGTTTTTTGGGTGATTTCACAGAATTTTCTCTGTCACTCCTTGTGATTTACATCATGTGATGTCACTCATACATAATTAGTTATGCAAATTAGTAAGGCCTGTATTTTTTTCCAAGAAAGGTGTCAACCCTAACTACTCTTCACATACTCTTGCTTAAGTATGGAAATTTAAGAGGGATATCTGGAAACTAGCTGAAATTAATTAGTTAAGGTAATGCTGACTTTGGTCTATCTAACACTGTAGCATATTCCCTTTCTTCTACACTCACTACATCCATATTTTCTCTGTCTCATACTGTATACCAGGAGCTTCTGTCTGCTAGGAAGAAGGTAAGGAGACAAGTGGACATGTGAGTGCTAGGGGACAGTCCTTAGAAAACATGGGGCGAGCACATCATTAGACGCATTTACGCCAAGTTCAGGGTCCTGTCTGCATAGTATGCCCTTAGTTGGCTAGCCTACATGATTGGCAGGCAGCCTGACATGCATTCATGCCAGGCTAGCCTTCCAATTCTTTGGGCAGACACTCCTCCTTTTTGGGCATGTTCATCCATTTTGGAAGTTTTGGTTATATGTTCCACATTAATGGCCCACCCTTTTACAACGCCCTTTGACTTCCTGCTTCTCTGGACACTGCTATTAGGGGGTATGGATTTACTTGAACGATGAATTAGAGAGAGATTAGCATATTTTAAGAGAATCTGAGTTTTTTTTTATAGCTGCATCCTATGAGTTTCCCTCCGGCCACATCTCCACCAGATACATAATACTTGAGAGGTATGACTGTTTTAGTGTTTTTGGTTGATAAGATTCTGTACTCATAATTGTCAGCACCAGGCCCACCGGGCTCTTAATCTGGCCCTGGCTGTTAGTGTGAGGGTGCTGTTAGTATGTGTGTGCTGTGTGTGTATGTGTGAGGGTGCTGTGTGTGAGGGTGCTGTTAGTGTGTGTGTATGTGTAAGGGTGATGTATGTGTGTGTGCTGTGTGTGTGTGGGTGCTGTTTGTGTGGGGTGGAGGTGGGGGGAGCGTTTAGTAAATATCCCTCCTCCCTTCTTACCTTTTTATAGGGAGGGGGGACCGTGCTGCTTCCATCCTTGGTGGTCCAGTAGAGAGTGAACTCTAGCCTGCGGGGCTAGAGTTCACTCTCAGATCTTGCAAGAGGATCCCAGCGGAGCTGCTGGCTAGAGCTCCCCGGGTCTTCTCCTGCCTCCCTCCATGCTGCTTTGATCTCCCTCACTGGCCCACGGAGGAAGGCAATAGCGCGTGCAGCGGAGATTAGGGTGTGCCCAGGCACACCCCGCACACCCGTTGCGCACGCCTATGGGGACTGGCAGGGATGGGGTTAACTGTGATAGTGAAGTTCGATGACAGGGAAGGGCTTAACAGTGGGTAGGGAAGTTGGCTGACTGGGACGGGCAGGGAAGGGGTTAACTGTGGTAGGGAGGTTGGCTGATAGGGGCTGGAAGATAATTTATTACTTGCATTACATGGAGAGAGAGAGGATCATAGATGTGCTCTAGCCTTGTCTCTGCAGTGCAGTCTGTGCTGTGCACATTCCTTACACTACAGAAGACATGGCTCTATTTTTATTGGCTGCAAAGGATATGTTTCTTTCAGAGACTGGGAATCAGTAGGCTAAGTTACACTGCTGAAAACGGCAAAACATTTTACAGCACTGCAAGAAAACTACACAGACCTGAAAGAAAAGAAACACTGGTATTTGAGCTTATTAGATTTAATTTAAGCTCAACTTGTTTAGCTGCCTGGAGTGTCCCTTTAACTACCCTGGCCATAAATTTTTAATTATTTGCGTTCACTCTGAATTTTTCCTTTTTTAAAGAACCCTGCTAAAGTATCACAAACAGTGGCGTACCCAGATCTCCCATCACTTTAATGGGGCCTGGCTGCCTGTTGACCCCTGCAACCGGCATACTTTTAGGGGCATGCCATTGCCAGGTGACCTGCAGGAGGAGAGCACACAGGACAGTGCTCCCTTCCTGCTGGTTACTGTATGTAGCGAGGCCAAGCTACTAGTAACTCTCTGTCGTTACTGTTACAATTTTGCAGTCCGTAACCAGCCGCTACTTTTACACAGGCATTTAGAGATGGGGCTGGTGGATAAAAAGTAGCGACAAGCTTGTAAATGAGTCCTGTAAGTGGTAATGCCAATTAGGAATCTGAAAATGTTTAATGAACCATATATTCTGGAGATCAGAAATATTCGTACAATTTATATTATGACTGGTGCAAAGTAATAATATAACACCTTTGTATTTCTAGATAAATTAGCTAGTTATTTTTTTTTATTTATCTGAATTCTATAATTCTGAGGTAATAAAATATTATTATCTTCCAGGTGTGAATGAAAAGTAACATTTTAATATTTTGTTTTTTACTGACATATTCATCTTTTAGAAACGTCTTGATCAAACATACGTGAGAGAACTGATGAGAGATGATCCGTTTGAAAAGAAATTAAGGTATTCATTAACACTTGTAAAATTTAGGAAGTTACAATTCCAGTGACTGGTCGTTCTGCAGGCATCTGGAGGGCCCCTTTAACTAATATTTTAAATATCTTGATGCATCGCTAAGCTATCTGTATTATTAGATACCATTAATAACTGTGCAAGTTATCTGAGGAAGAAATGCCTTCTTAATTTGATCAGTCATGCCAGTGGTGCCACTGAGGCTTAATTCAGAAAAAGATTTCACCTGGCAGGTCAAGCCTTCTTCAAGCTGTGTGCCTGTGTAGGGAAGAACCAATGTTTCAGCCCATTCCTTAATATGTTTTCTTTATTACAGCTGTAGTGAACAATCAAAAAATAACCAGAAAGAACATTTTCCATCACTTGTGACTTGTGACTCATCAGCTGATTTCACCAAAACCTCAGTCAGCACAAATAAAATACAAGGTAATATGTGCCAGACTAAATAATATCTTGAGAACTGAGAAGGGATTTGACTTCACTTTTCTGTACGCTTCTTTAGTTTTATAAATTATAAGTATTTCACTTCAGTTCTGTGCATAAAATGCATTTAGAATTCATTACACTCTGGCAATGGATGTATTGAGCAGTCTCCATGCAGTCAGTCCCTCCCAACTCCCTCAAATAAATAAAGTGTTTTATTTTGTTTTTTAATTTAAAAAGTTTTCCCTCCCTTCGCTGACTATAAGCATGCACATGTACTCCGAGCCGGCAAAATGGTCCAATCAAAGGCTTTTGGAAGTGCAGAGATTATGTCAGGCGGGGTGTAGAGTTCAAGCAAGGAGCTTCACCCAGCACTGGAATTCAGGTAAGTTTTAAAAGTTTTCTTGCAGGTTTTGAGGGGGACACCTCTTAGTAATGCTCAATAGGGCATTGTAAAGCAAAAAAAATGCTTTAGTAATAAAAAAAATGTAGTAACCATTTAGTGGTAAAAAAGCACATATGGCAGTAATACAGTGGAGGGGGGTAGAGATTGTGGCATGTACTTACCTCCCTCCATATAGCCCCCCTGTTGCCTTGCGATCTGACTGCTCCACGCGGCTGCATGGCATAGGGAAAGGTACTCACCTTCCTCGAGCCGCGCAGCCCTCCTCCTGCCGCGAGGTCCAGCAGATCCACACGGCAGGACTTCCTTATATAGTGTGGAGGTATGACGTCACGCCTGTTCTTAAAGTGATCACGTCATCATTGCGATTCTAATCTATTTTGAGTAGCAATTAGGGGAGGACTGACCACTCACAGGGCCCATGGTAATCATGCCCCCCCCCCCCGTTCACCTTTTTTGGCCCCCCACTTCTCTTCTCCCCATTCTTTCTGCTGCTTTCACACAGATATTATGTGTATGCTGCCCCACACACAGAATGGTTGTGTAAGAGCCACACAGTCATGACTCCCACATTTGCAGAGCCCCCCAAAATGGGCAGATTTACTTTTAAGGGGTTAAACCAACACATGAGAAACTGAAAGTCACAGGGACCAAGGTGGGCACGGGGAGGCCTGGGGACCGAGGTAGGCGCTAGGCTGGGTATGAGATTATGAGGTGGGACATAGAGGTTGGGGTGAACTCAGGAGGGGACATAGGGGCTATGGTGGGTACTGAAAGGCATAGGAGCTATGGTAGGTGGAGGTGGCATAGGAGCTGTGGTGGGTGCAGGGATAGGTAAATCCTGGGGTGGGTGTAGGGGGAATGGTGGCTGAGATGAGTGCAGAGGGAGAATGAGGTGGGTACAGAGGGGGCTGAGGTGGGTGCAGAGGGGGGGCTGAGGTGGGTGCAGAGGGGGGCTGAGGTGGGTACAGAGGGGGGCTGAGGTGGTTATAGAGCGAGACTGAGGTAGGTACAGAGGGAGACTGAGGTAGGTACATAGGGAGACTGAGGTGGGTACAGACAGGGGAGGGCTAGCAGCCTTAGGCCTGGGGGGCAATACCAGTCAAGTGGCCCATTGCACCACCAAATCAGTTCACCATCCATGCCCACCTCTTCCTGGTTTTATAACGGATATTGATGTTATGCTAATCAGTAGCTCTTTGCCATACCCACTCCTTCGTGGCTCTGACTTTCAATGTTGTTAGAGCGCAGGCTGAGAATCTCTGAGCTTGTGCTCTGACTCACTAACTGAGCGCCGGAACCACGAGCGAGAGGATATGATCTGACTGCACCTACTGCTGGTGCGCACCAGGGGACCACCAGCGAATCGTTTAAATTGAATATGCTGGTGTCCCCAACTTGTGAGCTGTGTTGGCCGCCGGTTGCCTCTGTTGTCAACGGCTGGCCCAACGGCTGGCCCTGCTGACACACACTGACGTTACTACTTAGACATCCCTCAATATTAATACAGACATCAGAGTAAACACCAATAAACTGTGCAAACAGAGCTGATCCCCTCCAATTTATAAAGTTTTGCTTACTGGATTTGTTGTAAGATTAAATCATGCCTCCTCCTCTCTTTCTCCCATGCGCTGCTCTGTAGGCTGGGAGGAAGTGAAGAGTAATCACAATCTCCCAGCAGAGCGGCACCTGTGACTGCATGGGGAACATCTGAATTTGCCGGCCCCAATGTGACATCACAATGCCCCACCTATATGAGCTGCCATACGAACTAACGCCAGTACTGCACACAGTGTGTGTTTACATTAAAAAGCTGAAGTGGTTCTGGTGACTATAGTGTCCCTTTAATGTGAAGTAAATTATAGATTAGTGTCACTAATAATATACTAGATTGCCTACTTACAACCAGATGAGGATGATGATGGGCTGCAGTTTGGCTCCACTGGTCTGGTGTAGAACAGGATCTCTGGAGGCTGTTTGCAACTGTGGTCACAAAATTCATTGTTCTGGGAGAATTGGAAGCAGCTCTATTTACACAGCTCAAGGTCTGGGCCCCAGGGCCTGACGGTGAGTATACCCACAAGGCCCACTCATAAGTCCACTTATATGTTCCACCCACCCATGAGTCTGCTCACAGGGAGTGGAGTGTGTAGGGATGTGTTATGTGTTATTGTAGAGGTTCTAATATGTGTGCTTATGGTATGTAGTTTATAGGGATACCAGTTTGTGTAGGTGATGCAGTGTGTTTGTGTATAAGGGATGTATTGTGTGTTTCTGGTTGTGTGTAAGGGATGCATTGCGTGAATCTGTGTTTGTATGCATAAGGGATGCAAGGTGTGTGTCTGTATGTGTGTGCATTGAGTGTGTGTAAGAGATGCATTGTGTTTCTGTGTGCATATAAGAAAAGCAGTGTGTGGGTTTGCATGTGTGTGTAAGGGTTTGCATTGTGTGTTTCTGTGTATGTGTGCAAAGGATGCATTGTTTTGTGTGTAAGGGATGCATTGTGTGTGTGTGTGTGTGTGTGTGTGTGTGTGTGTGTGTGTAAAGAATGCATTGTGTGTTTCTATGTGTGTAAGGGAAGCATGTGTTTCTGTGTGTGTAAGGAAAGCATGTGTTTCTGTGTGTATAGGGATGCATTGTGTGTGTGCATAGTGTGAAAGAGCTCCCTGTCTTGCCCCCTGTCCTATAGAGCTGTCCCTTAGAACTCTCCCCTGTCCCTTAGTGGTCTCTCACACTCCCCCCCTCCACGTGTTCTCCTCACCTCCCCCCTCCATGTGTTCTTCTTACCCCCTCTCCTCCCTGTGCTCTTCTTTCCCCCTCTCCTCCCTGTGTCCTCCTCATCTCCCCTTCTCCTCACCCCCTCCCTGTGTTCTTCTTACCCACTCTCCCCCTGTGTCCTCCTCATCTCCCCTTCTCCTCCACCCCCCCTCCTGTGTTCTTCTTCCCTCCTTCTCCTCCTGTGTCCTCCTCACCCACCACCCCCCTCCATGTGTTCTTCTCCCCCTTCTCCTCATCTCCCCTTCTCCTCACCCTTGCTCTCTCCTCCTCCTTGTGTTCTTCTTACCCCTTGTTCTTCTTACCTCCCCCTCCTGTGTGTTCTTCTTACCCCCTCTCCACCCTGTGCTCTTCTTGCCCTCTCTCCTCCTGTGCTCTTCTTGCCCCCCTCCTCCTCCTGTTATCTTCTTACCCCCCTCTCCTCCCTGTGATGGCTTCCTCCAGCCTCCCCATCTCCTCACCCCCCCTCCCTGTGTTCTTCTCACTCCTCCCTCTATGTGTTCTCCTCACCACCACCCCTCCTGTGTTCTTCTCAGTCCCCCTTCTCCTCATCTCCCCTTCTCCTCACCTTACTCTCTCCCCTCCTCCTTGTGTTCTTACTCTCTCCCCTCCTCCTTGTGTTCTTCTTACCCTCCTGTTCTTCTTACTCCCCCCATTTTTCTTCTTACCCCTCTTTTTCTTCTTACACCCCCTCTCCTTCTGTTACTCCCCACCTTCTGTTACCCCCTCCTTCTATTCTTCCCCTTCTTCCTTCTGTTACCCTCCCATTCTGTTACTCTTCCCCCTCTGTTACTCTCCTCCTTCTGTTGCTCTCCCCTTCTGTTGCTCCTCTCCCCTTCTGTTTGCTCTGTTACTCTCCCCTTCATTACTCTGTTGCTCGCCTGCCTCTGTTACTCTCCCCCTTCACCTGGGCCTCTCTCCCCTTCTGTTGCTCTCTCCCTCCCCTTCTGTTGATCTCCCTCCTTCTGTTGATCCTCTCCCCTTCTTGGTCTCCCCCCTTCTGTTTATCTCTCCCCTTTTTGTTGCTCTCTCCCCTTCTGGTGATCTCTTCCCCCCCCTCACCTCCCCTGTAGCGTGGCCGAGCTCCTCTCCCCATCCGCGGTGCCCGGCCGGAGTGACAGGAAGGTGCACACTGAGTGTGCACTTCCTGTCTGTCTGGCCGGGTACAGGAAACAGAAACTCCGCACGGAACAGGAGTTTCTATTTCCTATACCCAGCTGGACAGACAGGAAGTGCACACTCAGTGTGCACCTTCATATCACTCCGGCCGGGCACTGCGGATGGGGAGAGGAGCTCGGCCATGCTACAGGGAAGGGGAGGTGAGAAGATGTGCTGCAGCCGACAGAGGCTCTTAACAGAGCGCTAAGACGGCTGTAGCATTAGGACCTGCCCTGCAGCGGCCGGTCTTAAAAGGATTTGGACCGGCCTGGGGGGCAATTGCCCCCCGGCCCAGCCCGCCCCTGGGTACAGAGGGGCTGAAGTGAGTACAGAGTGGGCTGAGGTGGGTACAGAGGCAGTCTGAGGTGGGTAGAGAGGGGGCCTGAGGTGGGTACAGAGGGGGCCTGAGTTGGGTACAGAGGGAGTTGTGGTGGGTGCAGAGGGAGTTGTGGTGAGTGCAGGGAGACAGGGGGTGCTGAGGTGAGTGCAATGAGGCTGTACAAAAACAAAATGTATAGGGAGCTTACCTGTGCTTTCTGCCAGGCTGCTGCAACACCTTAACTTCCGAGTGCTCTTCAGGCGAGGGCAGGAAGTGATATCACTTCCTGGGCCCACCTCTTCCTCCTCACACAGCACCGCACAGGTGCTGGAGACCTGGTAGCAAGAACTGCATGATCACTGCCAGGTTTCCCTGAGAAAAGAGAAACTGGTGAACGGGGGAATTACCTACAGAGTGATATGTTTCAGGGGGCCTGCAATATATCACTGGAATATGGCAGAAATCATGTTGTTCTGGCTGAGGAGATCTCTGACTCCTCGGTCCATGACCGATCTGCCCGACTGGGCAGTCCGCCCCTGGTCGCAATGATGACGTGGATCAATCAGTACACAGGAAAGCCTATTTAAGGCTTGCTTTGGCCCATATTCTTTGCCCTATCGTGGTTTCTGTTTAGATCTTCGTTTAGTGCTCCTACTGATTCCCTTGTGATTTCCTGTGTTTGACTCGTGATTTCTGGTATCCTGACCCCAGCTTCGTATTTGACTCATGATTTCTGGTATCCTGACCCCGGCTTTGTCTTGACTCTGAGGATTTCTGTTATTCCTGTCCTTGATTTATCTTGACCCTGTTTCTTGTTGTATTAATACGTTAAGTCCGGCTATTCTAAGGCTCGGTAATGTGTCTTTCGAATTCACCTTTTGTGGGTTTCCTCTTTCCTGCCTGTTGGGGTACGACTCCCGTGACATGGATACATTTATAAGAATAGAGGGAGATAGTGTATGGTGAGCATAGTTGGATACCAATTAGAGGTAATGGTTTGGAGTTGGCATATTCTATCACTTTAATGAGTAGAAAGTGAGTAGTGGAAGGATATCATATTGGGACTTGGGAATAGACAAGCCTCAATAAGAACAATGACTCTAGAGCTATTGCCTCTGTGTTCCATGCAGTACCATAAAGGACTGTATCTTGGTGTCTTCTCTCTTTACAATAAAGTTTAATTTTCTGAGTTACACTACTTTGCAGGCTTGACGGGGATGATGTACATTTGCCTTATGCACCATATTATTTCAAAACCAGCCCTGTATTAATTTTCTGTATTTATTTATTAAATTGTCCACAAATGTTTTGTTTTTTTATATGTTCATTTTGTTTAATATGCAATCTGTTTGTTATAGGTTTCAGAAATGGATTAGGCCAACCATCTAAGTAAGTATTAGTTTATAAAATTGTAATAAATTGTTAATGTTAACATTTACTGGTTTGAAATATTTTCATTATGACAATCTTCTATATGTTCATATGTCAATTTGTATATATTGCTGATCATAGAAGTAAGACTCTACAATGGGAAAGGACTGCACTTTAAAGGGATACTGTAGGCACCCAGACCACTTTAGCTCATTGAAGTGGTCTGGGTGCAATGTCCCATGCCCCTTAACCCTACAGTGGTAATTATTGCAGTTTTTGAGCAACTGCAATAATTACCTCTGTGGGTTAACTCCACCTCTAGTAGCTGTCTACCAGACAGCCACTACAGGGACTTTTTGAAGTAAAAACTGACCTTTGTTCCCTTTCTGATGCTGGATGTACTCATGATCTGCATGAGGACTTCCAGTGTCAGATTTTTCCCCATAGGAAAGCAGTGATTAATGCTTTCCTATGGTAAAATCCTAATGTGAGCGCGGCCATTGCGCACCACGCATGCGCATTAGGTCTCCCCCACGACTGACGATGGCGGAGAGGAGCGGGGCCTGACCTAGCACTGAGGGACATTGGCACTGGATTCAGGTAAGTGTATGAGGGGGGTTTAAACTTCTTCAGCGCCACGCAAGGGAAGGGGGCACTTTAGGATGCTATAGTGCCAGGAAAACGGCTCTGTTTTCCTGGCACTATAGAATCACTTTATTGCATGTTTGCCCTCTAAAATAGCAGATTCCTCCAATACATAATAAATTAGTTCATTCTGTACATTTAAACATACTGTCACTAAAGATATATCTTTGAGATCAAATTCTGTATTTCAATATAAGACGAGAATCTAATAATAAAATATTTAAATATTGCATTACACATTAAATCAGATAACATAAATATTGCATTAAACGCTGTACTCTACAGTCAGTGCACTCCATTTAATTGTTAAATGCATGCTACATGCCAGACCCGGAGTGGCCATCATACCAGGCAAATGCCCAGTTGGCTGACAGAGGACATCAAAGGATCTCGCAGACTGGCCCCTGCAGGGCTAACGCTGCCTCAGTGCAGGCCTAGAGTGGGTGCTCCGTGGCTGGTGTGGAGATCAAAAATCTCCCTCACAGTCCAGCCCAAAGTTAAGAAGAGTGTACCTCAGCCTTAGAGTGTTGCTGCGGTACATTCCACAGTGTTGGCCAAGTGCACACGTGCTGTACCTCTTAGCACAGGACCACCAGGGAAACAAATGCCCACTGTCAAGGCCCAAGGTAAGGCAACAGAAACTGTTTTCTTTTTTTTTTTTTAAATAATTTATCATTTTATTTTTTAGCTTGCTCCCCCATTCCGCTCACACACTCTGCTGACCCGTCTCACACCTTGTGCCCCACATCCCTCTCTCACACCCTGCTGCCTCAAACACCCTGCAAGCCCATTTCCCTCTTTCACACCCTCCTACACCCTGCAGCTCCTGTCACTCTCCGACACCCAGCAGCACCTACATCATACATCTCTGCTTCTTTCCTACTTCAACCTTCAGTAGACATTACATAAAAGTTTGGATATTGCAATACCGTGTTATCCAACATGGACTGAATTGGGGCTTAACAAACAAATGCTGAAAGTTATCAACTACCACCTAAATGCCACAGATCATTGTTGTCAGGATTACAGAATGATACAGCATGTAGAATTGTGTAACACAGAGGACTGATAGGTAACGTATGCCAGACCTTAGAATGGCCAGACTAACGTACCAAAGAATAGTCAGGAATAGCTGAGGTCAAGGGAAACAGAAAGAGACACAATGATAAGGAAAAGCCAGGAGTCAGGGATGCCAGAAAACAGGGAAGTCAAAAACAATGCCAAAGTCAAATAACCAGAATTACCAGAATCAATAACACGCTCTCGGACAACCACAAGGGCCACCACGACAGGGCACTGAGCAGGATGAGAACTGGGCCTACATATCCCTCCCCTAGATCTGATAGGCTGTAACCGGCCTTTGACCCCAAAGGCAGTTATCAGGTTTTCATTTGCATAATTGCTGCTCAGCATTAACCCTTCTGTGGATTTGGTTGCTGCTCGGCACAACTTTTCCTGTGTGGACAGTAAATGTCAAATCCCACATTTTTATAAGCGGATGAATACGTGACAATTGTACATCAGGCATCTCAAACATTGGCATGCCAGTATTAAGTACACCTTTTATGATTTTATATACATTTATTTCCTTCAGATAATTAACAGAGCTCATCATAGGTCAACAATATCAAAGGGGCAATGTTTGAGATACTTGATGCATATTGTGAATTTACTGATACATTTGGGCCAAAATAAAAATAAAAATGTGTATAAAAGAGTGCAAAAACTTTTATTCTGCAATGTGAAAAATAAACAATATTAATTTTAACAGGCGTAATGTTTTACATCTAACTGTACAAAAAGCAGGATTCTCATTGCAGTATAAATCTTCAATATTAATATATTAACCTGCGGTTAACATGACAGTGTAGGTTTCACATGGAATCTGCATCTATCTAATTAGCAATATAGTGCATTAATATTCTTTGATTTGTGTCTTTAAAATGTCTTTGTCTTGATTTCAGATCTGTGATGTCATTTGACCTGGATTCATGGGCATCTAAACCAAAAAAGAAGGAAATGTTTTTGGAAGATGATGACCCTCCACCTTGGTTCTTTTGCCTAAAAGAAAAGTGTAAGAAGTCATTATTTATTTTCAATGGCTACAACCAAGTATTAAAAAACAAATGGGAAGAGTCTGCGCTTAATAACAAAGAGGGAAGCAGCAACCCTAAAAAGGGAATCCCTCAAAACCTTTGTGAGATAGAAAGAGAACAAAGGAATTAAGGGCTGCGCTGTTAGGTCAAAGAACAGTGAGATAGAAACCAACAGGTGGTAAAATCTAGGTATAATAATCACAATTGCAGTATGTATAAGAGTAGTAAAAAATAGAGTCCGTCCAATTATTCAATCAAGTAATGAAAAATTATAATAAAAAATGATAAAAAATATTCTATAAAATAAGAACAGTCTCACTAGTATATGGATAGGGTATGAGTACAATCCTCAGGAGTTGATCCGTCCGGGTTGTAGATAATCTGTATATGTGGAGATAAAAGAAAACACAGAAAAACTGCCAATGGTGAAATTTTGTAGGTCCAAGGGTAAAAAATAAGTTAATTTTGTCTATTGTCTATTCCTGGCATATCTGTATCATTACTTTGTGAAAACATTAGCAGCATTCTTTACTAAACTGGCTATTGTGGAGAATTGATCAGGGAACTCCTTTTTTAATTTTTTTAGAAAAACATAGCCGAGATTGAAACATAGCTGTGTTGAGGATTTTTTAAAAATGTTATCATACATTTATTTTGGTTTAAAATGTGCATATTAATGGTGATTTCTCAATAATTCACAGTCTAGCGAATAAAGCAGTATACATACATTTCAGAATATCCTCAATGTATGAATCAAAACTTCCTCTAGCCATTGGTGAGTGATAATTTAGCTCTGGTGAGCTTGCAGTGGCAGAAAGTTTAAAAGGCATGGCTATTAGACTAAGACTTGAAATTTTAAGCCATATACACATGTTGTTGTATAATATCCCATGGTTTTCATATTTTGAGGAACACTCAAAGAACCATAACTACTACATTTTGTTTCAGTTATTGTGGTGCAGAAGTGTTCTGGCACCCTCCCCCTTCCCCATTGTCACTAGCTTAACCACATTTAACTTCTTATCTGGGTTCTGACTTCTTCTCTGGTTACTTCCATTAGTTCTTTTGAGCTACACCCATTGGTTAAGATCAGCTCACTGTAGTGGTTGTGGTGCTTGGAATGTGCCTTTGAAATTTACACATATAGGTTCATACACTCATCAATTTATATATTATTATTTTCTCTTTCTAGATCTCAAGACTGTGAAAAAACCATCAACGTAAGTAATTAAATATTTTTTATTTATTACAATTGTAATTCTTACTATCTATTCTTACCCTGCTATTTTTATTAATTTTACCTGATAACATTACAGTTCTATATTGTCGCATCCCATGACATTGTATGATATTAAAAGGAGATAAAGGGAGATAAACACACAAGTGCTATAATAAGTATTTATAATTAGTATTGGCACAAATTGAGCAAATTCAAATGTGAGAGACCTTTCAGTTGCTTTACAATTATTTAAATATGCCATTTGAAACCAACAGTCTCTTGTACTACTGGGGGATACCCTTAAAATGGCATAGAGTACACAATGCCAACAGTTCCTGGCAGTCAGCAGAGCAGGGAAGATAAAATGTGCAGGTTTTTTCTCTAAATCTTGAAATGTCAGGAACGGACTAGAGAGTGTCACAGGTTACTTTTATTATAGCCAGGTTGAATATTTTATTACCGTAGATACATAATTTTGGTCAATTTCTGACAAGTTCTAGTTCAGAGCATTACCCTGTGTGTTTGATGCAGAATGCCCAACATTCACTCAGGAAGAGCAGATTAAAACAAAAACTGTTTAAAGAATTTAATATGATCAGCTGAAAATGCTATATGATGATATATAGAACATGTTTTGTACCAGAGCACTCATAATGGTAAAAGGATTTGTAACATGAAAGCATTACCTTCCATTTTGTGTACTTTTATTATAGTTTAAATGATAGAAGAGCCGTGTTTGATGAACAAAAATCTCATTTTGCAAAGCTGCAAAGGCGATTGGCAAAGAGAACGCAAATGAAAATCCTCGACAAAAAGTCGTATGTATTTTCAGCAGTATCATTTTCATTAAGGCAATGCATAATAATAAAAACATTTAAACAACAACATGAGGGTAACCCGTGGCAACGCTCAGAAGGCCGCAGGTCTCGCGAGAGTTATTGGAGGCAATGAACTGCGTGTGAAGAAGCTGTGTGTTGAGCCCCCCTCTGCGCTATCTATGTGTGCAGAGAGGGAAAGTGGGGCCCGGGACTGCCAGAGCAGTCCGGGTGCCCCAGGACTGCCGGGCCCATGACAACCATCATGGTTGTCACCCCCTGATGGCGACCCTGCACGCAGTCACTGGGTGACCGTCAGGAGGGAAGCGTCCAGCACAGCTCTCCCCGCCTACCAGTCATTGCATATTGGGCCGCTGGGCAGACTGCGTTCTGACAGGAAATGCTCCCAGTGAACACTTCTTGGCAGAAGTGGGAGATCCTGTACCAGCAGTCCGCTCATTCACAGAGGTCAGCAGGCACAGGAGGGGAGGAGGATGGGGTGGAAGATGAAACACATGAGGGGGATGAGACACATAGATGTATTGGGAGAGCGAATGAGAGACATGGAGGGGCTAGGGAGGAGAATGAGACACATGGAGGGGTTGTGGGGAGGAATGAGGCACGTTGAGGGGTTTTGGGGAGGAATGAGGCCCATGGAGGTGAATGAGGCACATGAAGGGGGTGTGGGGGGAATATAAGGTACATGAAGGAGTTTGGAGAATAAGACACATGGAGGGTTTGGGGGGGCAGCGATGAGACACTTGGAGAAGCTGGGGGGGGATAAGACACATGGTTGGGGGTGGGGGAGGCAGAATGAGATACATGGGGTGGCCCCATGGCAATTTTCACACCGGAGCCCGGTGGTTTCTAGTCATGCCTCTGTGACAATAGATGTAGCAAACACAATTGCAAAACAAAATTTAGTTATGGCTTTAAGGAATGCTATTTAAGACTATATTATATGTGATAGGATGGGCTGGAAGATGAGACACGTGAGAAGAAGAGACACATAGATGTGTTGGGAGGGTGAATGAGACACATGGAGGAGCTAGGGAGAAGAATGAGACACATGGAGAGGCTGGGGAAGAGAATGAGATAGATGGAGGAGTTTGGGGAGGAGAATGAGACACATGGAGGGGGTTGGGGAGGAGAATGAGACACATTGAGGGGCTGGGGGAGAATAGGACACATGGATGGACTGGCTAGGGGGGAGCATGAGTCACATGGATTTAACTGGCTGGGGGGAATGAGACACATGGATGGACTGGCTGAGAGGAATGAGATATATGGAGAGGCTGGGGAGAGAATGAGACACATGAAGGAGGTGGGAAATAGGGATGAGACACATGGAGGGCTGGGGGGAATGAGACACATGGAGGTGGTAGGAAAGGGGGATGAAACACATGGAGGGGCTGTCGGGGAATGAGGCACATGGAGGGGCTGTGGGGGTAAATGATGCACATGAAGGGGCTGTGGGGGGGAATGAGGTACATGTAGGGGCTGTGGGGAGGAATGAGACACATGGAGGAGCTTGGAGGATGAGACACATGGAGAGGTAGAATGAGATACATGGGATGGTCCCGTGTCAATTTTCACACCAGAGCCCGGTGGTTTCTAGTCATGCCTAGTGACAATAGATGTAGCAAACACAATTGCAAAAAAATTTTTTTACTATATCTTTAAGGAATGCTATTTAAGACTGTGTGATATAGTATTAGAATATACATATCAAATATAGCTAAAAAGATATTTGGTGTGAATAAGTAGGTAGAGGTAATAATTGGCAACAAGACAGAGTATCAGAATAATCTGACACATGAGCCAAGATGTTCTGGTGACACTAGCTATTTTTGGGAAATAGAGCTGAGACTCCGCTCTAATATATGTGCACACAGCCATGATTAGCCGGCTTAAAGCTCCTTTATCGCGATCCACTCTGGTGTTCTGTTTCCTACAGCCGCTTTCACTGCCAACTCTGTATGAGCCGTGAAAAGTAAAGTACCAGCAGAAGAGTGAATTGACCGTAGATGGATTTATTAAGCAATAGAAACATAAACAAATGGGCCAGGGGCAAGGATGGAATTGTGCTACCGTTATAAATCTAAAATTCATACAAAGTTCTTGTGGCTAATTTGCATAGGCCTCGCCTCCTCCTTCCTTCATAGACACTGTGCAATCAAGTGCTTAATTTAGTCGACGCATCATACCGAGTTAACATCGGCAGTAGAACTCAGAACTCCAGGGTGATTCGTGATAAGTGAGTTTTAAGCCAGCTGATCTTGGCTGTGAATTTATGCCGAGTCTGTGCTCTATTTCCCATAAATGGCTAGTGTCACCAGAACATCTTGAATCATGGGTCATATTATTCCAATTCTTAAAATATGACTGCACAAACAAAATACAGAAAATATGCCCAGGACCTTTGAGCTCCACACATATATTAGGTGCAGTGGGTGGTGTCCTAGGAAAACAAATTAAGAGTATTCAGAGATGGCACAATCATGGTCCTTCTTCTACCTAAACCAACTGCAGAGCAATAAAATATGTAATATACATGTAGACGGCCAATGCAATGCCATTGGACCATCCCTTATCCCTTTAATCTTGAGTATTTAATTTTAGCTAGAGGGGGCAGAAGATCCCCACATTATTTGACCCATTATGGTAGAGAATTAAATGTTGAAACTGCAGGGCATGATCTATACACCAAAACCACTTATGTTAAAGTTATGTTGGTGTTTCTAGTCTACCTTTAAATGAATGATGTAGCAAAAAAATATTTTTGTTCTTTTCACTAAAAATTTCAAAAAATAATTCTTTAGCACTCAGTCAACTAGAAAGGAACAGTTCCGTGAGGTTTTGAATGAAAGAACTGGCGACAGATTACAGTCAATACTGACAGAAATGCGAAAAATAGGCAAATCACTGGAGGCTCCAGAGTATCCAACTGAGTGGTAAATATACATAGGATGCTAATGCTTGCACTTAAGGATGAGTAGTTGTTTTCTGGCCTTGGTTTTGATTAACGTTTAGATTTGGTTAAATGAAAGTGGAATTGGCTGATGTCACTAATCCTCCCTATTATGCACATGCAAGGTGTGGGGCTTGGGAGAGAGAAACACTGTGTTTAGATTTCTGCAACTCTTTTCCCAGTTTGTCAGTAAAGAGTGAGATATATAATTATTGATGGCAGATGAGAATAGCAGTTGCAATCTAGAAGCGTGACACCCAAGGCTACCTTCAAAAATTTAGGGCCCCTTACGAACCTAGTGGCTGGGCCTTATTTGACTCTCTCTCTCTCTCTCTCTCTCTCTCTACAGTGTACATATTACTGACAGTATACAGTAGATACTAAATGTAAATACAGATTATTATATTTTATTTAAAAAAATGTTTTTACATTTTATATAAATGGTGGTTATTTTTTTTTTTATTATAATTTATTTGGCATCTTTAAAGCAAATCACAAAAAATATAATAAGTACAAAATTGCCATTTCAAGCTTTTGAAACCTAAATACCAAAGCATTAAAATATTATATTTGACATTTTTACATAACATATGGCCCAATCCTATTTCTCTGCCAGCCAATGGAAATTACAGTCTGACAGAAACTAGAGAACCAGGGATGGATATCCTTAATGTGATTTACATAGTAATCTTGGTAAGAAAAAAACCACAAGTGCATCCGCTCCTTTCTTACGCAAGATACCACCAAGGAGCTTGTCCATGCTCTAGTAATTTCCCGCATGCATTATTGTAACCCTCTCTGTATTGCCAGCCTGGGATTTTGATCCCTTCCTCAATAAGGGCACTACATCTACTTTACATCAGACTTGTGGCTTGATTTGAAATGAATACAGAAACATAGAAAACAATGGTTGTGCTATTACCACCTTTATTACATAACCCATCTTTATTTACATAACTTTATTTTACTTTGCAAGTGCTTTTTCCTCTGTCAGCTGTAGAACTTTTGTAATGGTTATTGGGATATCTACAGCCATTGGTTCTTCCCTACTGAAGAAAAAAAATAATTAAAGGGGCACTGGCACTGCCCTCTCCCAGCAAAATGGGTATTTCATAAAGATAAAATACTGACTGTGGTGGAATTTCACTGAAATTCACTTACGATCAATTTCAGTATTCAAAAGTACAACACTAAAGTTTTATTTTTACAACCTCTGTATGTATTTTCTATATGATACATTTGTTTTGTTTCTAAGTGATATACATGATATAGACTGATGAATGTGTATAAGAGGCTTAAAAAGAGATTTTAGAAATGTACATACATATTTAGCTGAATATTAATATTCTGTATATCTGCACTTTCCATTAGGTATGACGATCTAGAGGACGAATGTGAGGAGAAATTTGGGAAAACAGGAATCCCTGAAAACATTGCCCAACTTATGAAGACACTGTCCTCCTTTCGTAAATTGGACTTCTTCACCATACCATTTATCAAGGTAAAAGTAAACTTACAAGAATAGTTAATCTGAGAAAAATAAAAATAGGCCAGAGTCATCATTATGTTTATATTTGAAAAGCTAAAATATTCTTCTGAGCTGTATGATCTGAGGGATTTCATCCAACGCCATGTTTGTGCTCATACTTTTCCAGGGAAAACTGTGTCTGCTGACTGTGTCTCTCCCAGTCTTTACCCTTTACAAACCAGCAGCACAGAAGGCACTTGAATTTTTTCTTGGCAACATACTTCAACAACCCGTCGGCGACATTAGACGCTGGTATGCATACAGAAAAATTCCACCAGTTGCATTATCATAAGATCCCTCCTTTGGAGACATAATAAAGTCAGAATAGATCAACAAAGTAGTTTTTCAGTATATTATTTGACAGCTTTTTAATGTTACTGAAACTGTTGGCTTAATAAATAAAGAGTTTCCTTCTGTGTTGTAAGGGAACAATTAAGAGCATGTGCGTGGTAGAACTTCCAGACCAGTTATTTTCATTTTTAATACTTTCTTCCCACCTGTGTATCTGACCAGTGCTGGACATACCACCAGTGCGGCTACACCAGGACCCGCACGCTCATGGGACCATCGGGTGCCCTGAGGCCCTTTAACAGTGTGCCCATGCTCCTTTACACTGGCTATGTTGTGAGAAAGTGAGCCAGTGCAGACTATCCTCACAGCTTTGGCACGGGTAGCAGGGTGTAGAGAAGCAAGAAGGGAGCAGCTCTGGACTCCACACTCTCATCAGCCTCAGACAGAAGAAGAACCCCAAGGAGGCCACCCGTCTGCACATAAAAAATGTGTTAACAGGTTGGCTGCAAATATAAAACTTATGACATGCATGTTTCAGTGTGTGTATATATCAGTCAATGTGTGTATATGTCAGTCTTGGTGTGTATATGTCAGTCTGTCTGCCAGTTTGTGTATCTGTGTGTTAGTGTGTCTATATGCCAGTCAGTGTATCTATATGTTAGTCTGTTTTAATTTGTGTAAATGTCAGTCTGTGTAACTGTGTCAGTCTATATCTGTGAGTCAGTCTGTGTATGTGTGTCAAGGTGTACTGTAAGGTGTACTGTAGTGTGTTAGTGTGTGTATCTGAGTGTGATTGTGTGTGTCAGTGTGTGTATGTATAAGAGTATGTATCTGTGTAGCGGGGTGTGGGTATGTGTCATTGTGAGTATGTTTCAGTGTGTATCTGAATGTGTATTTATATGTGTATCTGTGTCTGTTAATGTGCATGTATATCTGTGTAAGTATGTATCTGACAGTGTTTGTGTGTATATGCATACATCTCAGCAATTAAACCCCAACGCAAGATGCAAACACACTCCTGCAATCAAACACAATCATTACACCCCTGTATTTAAAATGGAAATGATATAAAAACCCTCCCCTTCATTCAAACACAAATAATACACATAAAAGCGCATGTGCATTTAAAAGCCAACACTACATATAAACACACACCTGCATTTAAATGCAAACACTACACACGTCCACAACTGCATTCCAATGGAAAACACTACACACAAATACACCCCTGCATGCAGACACATACTCTATACAAAAACATGCCTACATTGAAACGCACAAACACTGATCACTTAATATAACCCGGCATGGGTGGGCAAATGATAGGCCTCCATCTGGCAGAGCATCATGGGAGTTGTACGACAGATGGGGATCTACATTTTGGCCACTTTTGCACTAGAGGGGGCCCAAAAGAATTTCTTGAACCAGGATATTCTCTCTACATTAGTTTCTCCATTGTATCTGACTAGTATACTGATGCAATACATTTTAGAGCTGGTTTAAATAAATACAAAAATCCAACCAATCAGAACAAAACAACAGTAGTATAAAACCACTTAGGCAGGCCCTTCCACTTCCTCTTTCTTTGATGAGGTCGAGCAGGAGATCAAGGAAACAAACTAATCCACCTTGTAGTATGCACTTCCAGAGAAACAATCGTCAAACCCAGAGGGAAAATAGATTACACTGCAAGACAAAAGAAAACCTTGTGAAAGTAAACTGTCAAAGCAAGAGGTCATATCCATACAATATCACTTGCACATCATGATACCTGATAATTAAACAAAGTCTACAGAATTAAGAAGACCTTGTATCTAGTATTTACCTAAACTAAAAGACATAGATAAACATAGTTACAACACAAACATGATGAATAAAACGCACACGGACAAACGTCACTGTATAATAGAAATAACCTTTATTATGTAAAACCATGCATTCACAAAACATAACAAGATCCCCCAATTAACATAATAGAATGAGACCCAACCCCAGGGAGGGAAAGTAAAGGGGTGGGGGAAATATTTGTCTCCGGTCTTTAATAAAATTTAGATTATTCCCTCACCGGGGCTAGAATAATCCCTAATTTTATGGCAGGACAGGAGGCTTCATATTTGCAATTTTAACGCCCAAATATTAAAAAATCAGAAGTTATATGAGATAGAGGACTGAAATAAAAGGAAAAGGGAAAACCGATTCCCTAGACCAAGCAGCGGTGTAGAGAAAATCCAGAAGGGACCCAACGGCTTCCAAAGTTGTTGAGGTGGCAGCACCCCGAAGCAAATGTGTCCCAGAGGGACTCCCAAGGTCAGCCAAAGAGAGGATCCACCAAATCCAACACGCGAACGAAGATGCAGAAACAGTCCTAAACGGTCGTACGCAGAAATCAACAGCTGACCATGAGTAGACGGACGAATGAACGACATCCTGGGTCTACATGGTTGTGTACAACCTGTCAGCAGAGCTGTGGCCTATCCGGAGAAAAGGGGTACGACACAGCAGATGAATAGAAATCATATTGGTGTGGAGTGTGTAATCATGCCAGTACTTGAGACCCCGGAGAATGAAGCAACCAATCGTTGGGGTCTCTCCTTGGTCGGGTGAAGCCGTCCGCTACTCGAGTGTCTAGTCCTGCAGACAATCTGTCACAAATGACGAATACTTGTCCAGGCGATATTGATAGAGATCCTATGTCAGATCCGACTGCAGTCCGGAGTGGGCAACAGGTGATAAGTCCATGCTGGAAGGTAGCGAGCAGTACTACTTCCCCATGGGAAGCTGCGAATGGCGAACTAACCTGCAGGTAGTTCCATGCAGTTGGCATGAAGAGGTCCGAATCCAGAGTCCTCTTGTCGTCACGCCATCGCAGGCAACCGTCCATCCGGCCGGTGTCGGAGTCCAGGGCAAAGTTTGGTTGGGGTCCGAAATTCCTTGGTAGGCCAGGTCCCCCTATGTCGGAGTCATCACTTAGATGAGCTTCGTCCAAAGGTCACATGATTCGGTCATACCAGGCCGAAGAACAGAGAAAGCGTCATGTTGAAACGCGTCTGATAGTACCAGATCCTGGGGATATGGCCTCCATGGTGGATAACAAACAGTCCATTGACCGGGTTAGGTCCCCAAGTGTGACCCGTGGGTTGCGGAGCATATGCCTGGTATTTTTCTAGAAGAAGGATATCCTGGTCCTCGGGAGGCGGAGCACCGCCTGGACCGAATATTCCATGAAAAAAAACAGAAACTGGGCTGACTGAGAGTGAGTCAGATCCAATATGTCCACGTTGATGGGGAAATCCATGCAGGTTTCTCTCATGTTCAGTTGAGAGAGAGAAACCAATCGTCCACGCAGAACGGCTCTCTGAAGGGACGGGTGCCCCCGTCTTGAAGTGTCAACAGGCGACATATGCATTGGGAGCATGCAGTGTGGGAACGGGGCAGGAGTCCACTCCCCTGCACCCTTCGCCCAGCAGGGAAAACTTCGGAGTGAGCCGGAATGGACGCCTCTTTAGTCATGCGTATCGCTCATGGAGTGATCCAAGGTTCAGCAACATTAAACCTGAGTCCAGGCACGGTCTGAGAGACCTCTGGGACTAGTAAGGAAAGAGCCTATGAATAGAAACGTGTCGGCTCAATTTGTACGTGAGGGCAACTCAGGAAAGCAGAACCAACACTTTGGATGCCAAATCCATCAGTTTGCTGTCTTGCCTGGATAGGAGACGTTTTGTGTCTCTCAGGGGTAGAAACCAAATAGGTGATTCCTATAGGTAACATCGGCCCATTCTCAATGGGGAGTTAGTCTTCTCTGCTTTCCAAGCTGTAACGCGTCGTTCGTCCTGAGGAAAACATCTGTCCGCGTGTCATCGACATCCAGTGGTTAGTCCCAGATAGAGTGCAAACCCTGCGTCAGGTGTTTACGGGGTCGTTTCCGGACTCAGTCATGCAGACTGATCCTCTTGATGAATTCATCTGTCAGCCAACGAGTACCAGGGGTGCTTGGTGTAGCATCTAGGATGGCCGATTGAGTGTCCCCTGTAGGGTACTGCTGTTTTCTGGCAGTGAGGCCAGCAGGGCGGCAGAAGGACAGGCCCGGAGGCCTTCTGGGTACGGGAAATTTGTCCGTCAGTCGTGATTGCATAACTGCCATAGGGGTAACACTGTTAGAGTGATACCTGGTGCGGCCAGCTGGGGGTCACCCAGCGTGCATGAGGTGGTCACCCAACAAGCACAAGCATACCATGCAGTGTAGGCCAGCGGGGGAGGGGGTCACTCTCAGTCTGCACACAATCAGACACTGTAATAATAATATAATATAATAATAATAAAATAACCAGACAATGCAGGTCCAGCAGTGCAGACGGCTGGAGGGGGGTCACCCTCGTATAACCATAACTGGACATAGCATATCCAACAGTGCAGTAGGTAAGAGAGGGTCACCCTCAGTGTGGGTATCATAAGGGTCTGTACACCCAGTAGTGTAGACAGCGGGAGGGGGTCACCCTCATTATGGTTATAATGGGACGCTGTAGGTCCAGCAGAGTAGTCCACAGGAGGGGTCACCCTCAGTATTTGCGTCCGGCAGGGCACTGTAAGAACAGTAGCGCAATCAGTGGGAGGGTGTCACGGCTGCTAGTGTGGTCCAACACGCAGAAACTATGTAAACATATACATACAAAAGGAAAGGAAATAAAAGGACAGAGCTTAAACCGGACATTAGAATGGCCGGACTAATACGCTAGAGATAGAGAATGGTCAAAGGGAAAGCCGAGGTCAAGGAAGCCAGAAATACTCAGATACCGTTTAAACAAGCCAAGTCAGGGGAACCAGAATTCGTAATAACCAGGGAAAATACAAGATCAGGATACCAGGAAGTAATATTCACAAAGATAAACGCACTCTGGGGAACCAAGAACAGGAAACCATGACAGGGCACTGTACTGGGGTGAATTAGGGATTTAAATATCCCTCTCTAGGCTCTGATTGGTCAGAGGGTGACCTCTGACCCCAGAACGTGCGCGTGCGTTGACTTTGTGACATCACGCGCATGTTTGTATAATTTTAGGGGTGGCGCCATGGATGGACGCGACCTCATGGTCGGCGCCCTCTTGGACTTCCCTGAGCGGCGTGGAGGAACGGTTCCCGGCTCGCCGCTGAGCAGGTAAGCTCAGTGCGGTCGTGCTGGTCGGGCACGGACACACATGGCGGCGAGCCAGGGGCCGTGACAGTACCCCCCACTCGAAGACCGCTCACCGGGCGGGAAGGAGCCGGCTTGCGAGGAAAACGGCTGTGAAATGACCGGACAAGATGGGGAGCATGAACCTGGTCCGCAAGAACCCAACTACGTTCTTCCGGGCCATATCCCTTTCAGTCAACCAGATAAAACAGAACACCTCTAGAGAACTTGGAGTCTAAAATAGTTTGGACTTTGTACTCCTCTTGATTACCTACTACCAAGGGCGGAGGAGGAACAATCAATTTTGTGTATCGATTGCAAGTGAGGGGCTTAAGCAATGATACATGGAAGGAATTAGCAATTCTCATATGAGCAGGGAGTGCCAATGAATAAGTCACAGGGTTTATACGACAGAGGACACGAAAGGGACCTATGAATCGAGGAGCTAGTTTCATGGAAGGAACCTTGAGTTTGATATGACGTGGACAACCAAACCCTGCCCCCCACTTGATAAACAGGATTGGCGTTTCCTATTAGCTTAAACTTTAGTATGTTTAGAGGCATTCTGTAATGCTGAATGAACAGAATCCCAAGTGTCTTGGATAGAAGTCAAATGGGTGTTTAATGCAGGAATATCAGTCCCTGAAAATACAGAAGGTAAAATAGTGGGGTGCTAACCTTAATTTACAAAAAATTAACTCTGACTCGAGGATTCGTGAGTCGCATTATTTCTGGCAAATTCAGCCATGGGTAAGAGTTCGAACCAATTGGACTGATTGGCATCAATAAAATAGGATTCTAAAGATTGATTGTCTCTTTCTGTGGCGCCATTAGTCTAAAGGGTGTTACGTAGAGGAAAATGAAAGTTCTATGCCCAACTGTTTACAGAAGGCACACCAGAACCTAGAGATAAATTGGGTTCCTCTGTCAGAAACAATGTTTTTGGTACTCAGTGTAAGCGAAAGATTTCCTTTATGAAAATTTGGACTAGATCTTGAGCAGATGGCAATTTTTTAAGAGGTATAAAAAGTGCCATCTTAGAAAATCTATCTACAACCATGAGGATGGTGTTATGCCCATTAGAACTGGGAAGTTCCACAATGAGATCCATGGCTAAATGGGTCCATGGAGCATTGGGTAAGTGGCTGTAGCAACCCAGGGGGAGATCGATGAGATGTTTTAGAAACCGCACATATTTGACATGCCCCTACATAGTCTTTAACGTCACCTCTGAGTCTAGGCCACCAAAATATTCTGGAAATAGCAGAGAGAGTTTTATGTATTCCAGGATGTCCTGCTGTCAAATTATCATGAAACACTTCCAGGGATGTGTGTTCCAGATATAATTATCTTCCCAATCCCCCATGAATAGGTTGGCAAAGCTAGGGGCAAATTTTGTCCCCATAGTAGTTCCCTTCTTCTGGAGGTAAAACTGATCTTCAAATAGAAAATAATTATTCTTTAAAATGAACGCAATCCCCTCTATTATAAATGAGATTTGTATGTCTTCCATTTCTCCATACTTGTTTAATGCATTCCTTACAGAATCACAGCCTTGTTGATGGTCGATGATTGTATATAGAGAAGTCACATCCATGGATACTAAAATATTGTTGTCTTGCCATGAAATAGAATCCAATTCTTTAATTATCTGCGTAGTATCCTTAAGATGAGACTTAACTTTAGACACATACGATTGCAAAAATGTGTCAATATACTGTGACAAATTTGAAGTGATCGAATTAATGCCTGATATTATTGGCCGACCAGGGGGTGATGATAGGTAGGGGTTTTTGGGAAAGGAATAGCAAGAAATCTGTATTCAGATTCTTTTAAATTCCCCATACTTCTGGTGTCTGTAACGCACATCCCTGGAATACCAACATTTATAAATACAAAAGATACATCGATGATGTGTTTCCTTATATGGGAAGGCGGGGAAGAAGACCTACAAGCATTTTTAGAGTATATAAATAAAAATACTTGGGGAGTGAAAATGAACACAACCTGGAGTAAAACACAGGTAGAATTCCTTGATCTCAGCATCTATATAGACTCTGGGAAAGTTAAAACAAAAACACACTTCAAGGAAGTAGATGTGAATAGCTTCATCCTCAAAGAAAGCTGCCATTTGCCTACATGGCTTAAAAATGTACCGTATAACGAATTCAGACGTCTAAGGAGAAATTGCACAGACTTTGAAGTATATAGGGAACAGGCAGATACTGTTAAAAAGAAATTCTTGTCTAAAAATTATAAATGCAACGAAATAGAGGATGCTCTGTGTAGAGTAGACAATATAGACCGTATAAATGTCCTAAAGAATAAAGACAAATCGCATGCAATAAGACAAGATATATTTCCAGCAATTATCTTAGACTTTAATAAAGAAAATGCACAACTAAAAAGAATACTGACGAAGCACTGGTATCTATTGAAAAAAGATAAAATTCTTGCCAGCAGCTTACCAGAAAGACCTAAAATCACTTTTAGGGGGGCACCTAATCTGAAAAGGAAAATAACGAATAGCCATCTAAAAGGAAGAAAGGAAACAACTACAATAAAAAAGAACGGTTTCTTTTATTGCCTGGAATGTATTGCATGTAAAACAAGTAAGAACATACAGACAAAAGGAGTATTTGAAGTCACAAAAAATAATCATAAAAGAAAGATGGAATTGTGCAAAATAAAAGAACACATCACCTGTCAGAGTACCAATGTGATTTATGTACTGGAGTGTCCGTGTGGACTCAAATACGTAGGAAGAACCAAGAGAAAGCTGTATGTGAGAATTAGAGAACACATGTTAAACATAAAAAAAGGTTATATGCAGCATTCGGTTTCCGCTCACTTTAAACAGCAACACAACTCGGATATGAGCCTCCTGAATTTCAAAGGGGTATGTAAAGTTAATAAGAATTGGAGAGGTGGAGATCCAAATAAACAGTTGGGGATTACTGAAATGCAATGGATATATAAGCTGGACACGCTACAACCTAAAGGATTAAATGCTGAATTTGAGCTCTGTCACTTTCTTGGATAATATTTTTTTTTTTTTTTAGCGTATATTTAATAATAGCAGGTATATGTTTTTTATAACCTGTCTGGGAGTTGTAATTTTTAATTTTTATTCTTATTATAATAAGGATAGGATCAGATTTATAGTCATAATAGAGACTGATCATTTTTCTTTACTTTGATTTGCTCTCAATTATGGCCGTTATATTCAAACCTGCCCAAGAGGTAATATGATCAGACATAAAGTGGAATAACAATGTGTAAATTTTTCTGAGAAGACGATACAATATGACTGGAATATATTTAGAGATGATCTATTTTGTTACAAAATAATGATTTGCTACAATTGCAAAGTAAACGGAGGACACTATAAAAACGATCATTAACGGTCAGACCGCATCCATTGAAAAAGCCGCGAAGCGGAGAAACGCGTTTGGAGAGGTCTGACTCCTATCAACACTAGTCATCATTTTTACTACAAAGAGGACCCACATCCTTTATTTTTACAGCATTTTTGCAACTTGCTGACTCGGGACGCCGAGTTTTTAATAAGGTCTGGACTTTCTTCTTTTGTTTTCAATTATTTTAAAATGTTTCCCTTTTTTCTTTTGTAACTGAGGAAGTCTACTTCACATAGTTGTGTGACGGTAGACTATTAATAAATGGAATGAAATTTTAAGCTATTGCAGTGCATTAATAAGGCTATATACCTGCTGGTAAATATTTATTAGAAGAGAAAGGGTCTTTTTCGTATTCATATATTTTATATCGTATAGGTCTCCTATTTTTCCCTATCTCTTGTTTTATTTTAATCAGTGCTCCACTATATGTAACTTTTTTCTATCCCCAATATAAGCCAAATTCTTATCATCGGTAAAAATCAAAAGTGGCCCTTTGGAACCTTCCAAGAGATGCCTCCATTCCTTAAAGGACCACTCTAGGCACCCAGACCACTTCAGCTTAATGAAGTGGTCTGGGTGCCAGGTCCAGCTAGGGTTAACCCATTTTTTCATAAACATAGCAGTTTCAGAGAACTGCTATGTTTATGAATGGGTTAAGCCTTCCTCTATTTCCTCTAGCGGCTGTCTCATTGACAGCCACTAGAGGCGCTTGCGTGCTTCTCACTGTGATTTTCACAGTGAGAGCACGCCAGCGTCCATAGGAAAGCATTGTAAATGCTTTCCTATGCGACCGGCTGAATGCGCGCGCAGCTCTTGCCGCGCGTGCGCATTCAGCCAACGGGGCAGAGAGGAGGAGGAGAGAAGGAGAAACATAGAAACATAGAATGTGACGGCAGATAAGAACCATTCGGTCCATCTAGTCTGCCCAATTTTCTAAAAACTTTCATTAGTCCCTAGCCTTATCTTATAGTTAGGATATCCTTATGCCTATCCCATGCATGCTTAAACTCCTTTACTGTGTTAACCTCTACCACTTCAGCTGGAAGGCTATTCCATGCATCCACTACCCTCTCAGTAAAGTAATACTTCCTGATATTATTTTTAAACCTTTGTCCTCTAATTTAAGACTATGTCCTCTTGTTGTGGTAGTTTTTCTTCTTTTAAATATAGTCTCCTCCTTTACTGTGTTGATTCCCTTTATATATTTAAATGTTTCTATCATATCCCTCCTGTCTCGTCTTTCCTCCAAGCTATACATGTTAAGATCCTTTAACCTTTCCTGGTAAGTTTTATCCCACAATCCATGAACCAGTTTAGTAGCCTTTCTCTGAACCCTCTCTAAAGTATCAATATCCTTCTGAAGATACGGTCTCCAGTACTGTGTACAATACTCCAAGTGAGGTCTCACCAGTGTTCTGTACAATGGCATGAGCACTTCCCTCTTTCTACTGCTAATACCTCTCCCTATACAACCAAGCATTCTGCTAGCATTTCCTGCTGCTCTATTACATTGTCTGCCTACCTTTAAGTCATCAGAAATAATCACCCCTAAATCCCTTTCCTCATATGTTGAGGTTAGAACTCTATCAAATATTCTGTACTCTGCCCTTGGAGGAGGAGAGCTCTCCGCCCAGCGCTGGAAAAAGGTAAGTTTAAACCCCTTTCCTCCTTCCAGAGCCGGGCGGGAGTGGGTCCCTGAGGGTGGGGGCACCCTCAGGGCACTATAGTGCCAGGAAAACGAGTATGTTTTCCTGGCACTATAGTGGTCCTTTAAGGGCGAGAACAATGGCCAGTGATTCCCTATTCCCGATGTCATAATTTCTCTCTGCTGGAGTTAATTTTCGAGAGAAAAAGCCACAGGGATGTAACGGCGCATCAGGACTCTCTCTTTGAGACAGAATGGCTCCTACTCCTGTCTCTAAAATAAAAGGTTTGGCCGGATCGGGGTGCGTCAGGACAGGTGCTGAAGCAAATAAAGATTTTAATCTTTCAAATGCTTCCTTTGCTTCTTTGGACCATAAATTACAATTTGCTCCTTTCTTGGTTAGGTTGGTAATAGGAGCGATTACTGAGAAATTCTTAATGAACTTACGGTAATAATTAGCAAAACCTATAAATCGTTGTGTAGCTTTAAGGCCTTTGGGTAACGGCCATTGCAAGATTGCTTCCAGTTTGTGTGGGTCCATTTTGAAACCAGAAGGGGATATAACATAGCCCACAATTTTCAGAGCTGAGGATCCAGCTCTGATATTAAGCGCGTGAAGTGGAATAATCCCCACTCAAGGATATATGGAGTAGATTTCAAATGACGATTCTCTGGTGCACGTTCGGCGTCCAAATTACAGACCCAGAAGAAGAGAATAAAATATATAGTGCTCTCTGTATTATGATAAAAGGTTAGAAAGTATAAAATGTATATTACTCACATTCTTTTGAGCAGGTATATACTGCTCACTATAAGCGCTTGGGTGATATGATCCCCACCTATGGATTCTTTAAGCCTCTTCTGAAAATAGGCAATATAGGTAGTCAGGAGAAAGAAAAGAAAAGAAAAATGGCAATAAAGTATTTTATGCCAAAAATTCTTTATTGTAACGTAATAAAATAATATCTAGAAGCGTTTCGCCTCAAGGGCTTCTTCAAGTAGATAAAAGTGATAAAAGGGGGGGCACACCTGACATACAGAAGTTTAAATAAGGTTCAATAGGGCTATGGATTTAAAATTCCCGCCAAAATGACATCATCAGAACATCTAAAATTGGTACAAACAGAAACAGTAATTTGCCATAGATTTATGTTAATATGGTGAATGTGAGATAGATACAGTGCTTATTATTAAAAAACGAAAGTTGTAAATACTAAAAATAACTAGTTAAAAGCAATCACGTGACGCGCGATCGCAAACACTTCCCCATATCCTAATATGAACAATTTTTTTTTCATATTTATTTTTTCCATATTTATTTTATGCACATATCTTTTTTACAAATATATTATTTTAATATTTTAATATGCTATGTATATTTTAATATGCTATGTATATACTATTCTCTGTAAGACTGTACTGTTATACCACTATATGTACACTTTATATTGATAATGTTTTTTAGGTGCTTATTTTACAAGATTGTAATTTTAAATTACTATATGTAGATTATGTTTTCAATGTTTTTATCAGCTTTGAACCCATAGTTCAGCCCATACTTGCTGCCTGTCTGCAGACAGACAGTGAGTACTGTGTGCTACTGTGAAGGCTATCTGCCTGCTGTTACCGGCAGATAGCCTCTTCTTTGTTTGGCTAAGTTCTCCCGAGAATTTGGGAGAATCTATTTCCCCTCTTATGACGCATGCGTTCCATACTAAAAAATAAATATGAAAAAAGTGTTTGCGATCGTGCGTCACGTGATTGCTTTTAACTAGTTATTTTTAGTATTTACAACTTTCGTTTTTTAATAATAAGCACTGTATCTATCTCACATTCACATTAACATAAATCTATGGCAAATTACTGTTTCTGTTTGTACCAATTTTAGATGTTCTGATGATGTCATTTTGGCGGGAATTTTAAATCCATAGCCCTATTGAACCTTATATAAACTTCTGTATGTCAGGTGTGCCCCCCCTTTTATCACTTTTATCTACTTGAAGAAGCCCTTGAGGCGAAACGCGTCTAGATATTATTTTATTACGTTACAATAAAGAATTTTTGGCATAAAATACTTTATTGCCATTTTTCTTTTCTTTTCTTTCACCTGACTACCTATATTGCCTATTTTCAGAAGAGGCTTAAAGAATCCATAGGTGGGGATCATACCACCCAAGCGCTTATAGTGAGCAGTATATACCTGCTCAAAAGAATGTGAGTAGAAACATAGAATGTGACGGCAGATAAGAACCATTCGGCCCATCTAGTCTGCCCAATTTTTTAAATACTTTCATTAGTCCCTAGTCTTATCTTATAGTTAGGATAGCCTTATGCCTATCCCACGCATGCTTAAACTCCTTTACTGTGTTAACCTCTACCACTTCAGCTGGAGGCTATTCCATGCATCCACTACCCTCATTAAAGTAATACTTCCTGATATTATTTTTAAACCTTTGTCCCTCTAATTTAAGACTGTCCTCTTGTTGTGGTAGTTTTTCTTCTTTTAAATATAGTCTCCTCCTTTACTGTGTTGATTCCCTTTTATATATTTAAATGTTTCTATCATATCCCCCCTGTCTCGTCTTTCCTCCAAGCTATACATATTAAGATCCTTTAACCTTTCCTGGTAAGTTTTATCCCGCAATCCATGAACCAGTTCAGTAGCCCTTCTCTGAACCCTCTCTAAGGTATCAATATCCTTCTGAAGATACGGTCTCCAGTACTGTGTACAATACTCAAGTGAGGTCTCACCAGTGTTCTGTACAATGGCATGAGCACTTCCCTCTTTCTACTGCTAATACCTCTCCTTATACAACCAAGCATTCTGCTAGCATTTCCTGCTGCTCTCTTACATTGTCTGCCTACCTTTAAGTCATCAGAAATAATCACCCCTAAATCCCTTTCCTCATATGTTGAGGTTAGGACTCTATCAAATATTCTGTACTCTGCCCTTGGGTTTTTACGTCCAAGATGCATTATCTTGCACT